AATATTTCGAGAAAATCGATAATAACTGAATTCCGCCAAAGTGGCGCTTTTGAAGCTCAAACGTCGCTCAAATTCAAAGTTTGGAGCGTCGTGCCACAAATTGAAAACATTGATAAAAATTATCAAATCTAGAAAAACAACATCAAACCAAATGTTGTCAGCAATTTCAGAAATTCTTCTTCGTTTATGAAAATGAAACATTAATTTGGCTTTAATGTTTCATTTTCACTCACCAAATACAAAATAAAGGCTTTATGTCAAGACTTTGGTCTGTTTATAGCATGAATTATGCTCAAAATTCCATTTTGCTTGGCCTTAGAGGAGCATTGAGATTTTGTGCCAAAAACCCAACAAACCTTAATAAGCGAAATTTTTCTCAACTGATTCTGATAAATGGGTCACTAAAGTACATACTGGATTTGGTATGAAAGTTATGCAAGAAGGCAGGTGAATGTTATGGTTTTTCGAAAAATAGCAATTTTGGGTAGGGATTTTTCACCTCAGATGTGACCTAACTTTAGCCCCAGGCCCCTCTCTGTCTAATCGCTTTAGAACAAAGTTATATTTCTGAAGTAAAAGCTCCACTATAGCAGAGTCCATGGTCAGATTAATTTGGCAGCACAATTTACCAATGGAGTTTTAAAGCACTATAAAAATGCTACCTAGAAGGATGAATTTTTGGTGCTCCATAGGCCACAAATGGGACCCCCCCTGAAACTCCAGAACAAACAGTCAGAGAAGTGAACCAAAGTGGCTTTTGAAATATCTTATCACACTCAACTTTTGTGCCAAGTTTCAGCCAAATCGGTTGGCCACCACTTTTGGTCCCTGGAACACTTTCTCAGACAGGGACACTTAAGACTCCTGTGATCAAACCAATAAAGAATTCTTACGCTGGTTTCTGGTGCTGAAATTAAGCACAATAAATGTAACACAACTTGCTTTGGTTACTCTGTGTAAAGTATTCATAGATCAAGTGATTACTCTTATTCCTCTAATTCAACTATACTTTATTTACCGCACAATACTCGTAATCAGTTTTTTTACTTTTACTTAGGATAGCAGATTTACGGTATGATAGGAAGTTACTTACAGTGGTAACGTTATGTGACCTTATGTAACGTAATACGCCACACTGCATTCTCAAGCTCGTCAAATTTCGGTTCGTGAATACGTTTGAAGACGTTTGTACGTGCAATAAAATCTCGACGGTCACATGTTGTTTAGGGTTGTTAAGCTATTAAGTCACTAAGAAACGATGAAAAACCCAAATTGTTGACTGAAACCCGCTTTCTTGTCTCTGAGCTCTCCCATGCACGAAACACCATGACTGGTGTTTTCTAAATTGTAGATTATATTTGGAAAGAAAAGGTCAAGGTTAGAAACAAGTCATTATTTGTCGCTTGAGGTGGGGAGGGTCGGAGTATTTTCGTTGTGTCAATGTTAAAGTCTCCCGACCCCCCATGAGGTTATGTAATATTCTTATGATTTCCCCACCCCCCTCTCCTCATTGACAGTCAATTACCTGAGGTTCTTTTTATTTTGTTCTGTTGGCCTGTGACTGAGCCTCCTTCCGCTCCCCCCTGATGACTATGTGGGACACGCCAAAATAAATTATTCACGGGGGGAGGGGTGGGGTGAGCCAGGTGATAAATAATGACTGTTCCCTCAGACAGGCATCTAATGTTTACTGTACTGTTGAGGGAAAGATCCTGAGGTATTTTGACCACTAACAAGTCTCGGGCGACTCCACGGAATTACATCAGTTTGGGTGAAAGTACAAAGGTATGCTCAGTAAAATTCTATTGTTACGGTTTGATCATTTTGTAATCGAACTGTAGTTCAAATTAGTTTAGCAAAAGTCTGGATAAAAGAACGATGTAATGCAAGCGAGTAAGGTCATTTCCCGAATATGATTAAGCCTTGTTGCCATATCGTTCCTCCGACCACTGGGAGAAAAACGAAACTTCTGAAGTTCGTTGTAATCATGTGAAAACCAGTTGTCAAGCATTTGAATGAAGCCATCGCAAATAAAGGTTTTTAAAAGTTAGTTTGAACCTCTTATGACTTGCCCCAACAAAGCCTAACTCACCATCATGTGACTGCGAATAACGTAATATTATCTTCTGTTTCTTATTATATTCTCAATCCAAAAGTCTTGAATACGTATCTTGAGATCATATTGACCTCTAGTGAAGACAATATCTGTTCGTTCGAGGAAGTGGGACACTGACTTCAAATGAAAATGTTGTTTATTACAAGCGATAGGCATGTTTGGTAACGGAAGGAAGCTCTTTAACGCTAGAGAAATTTCTCAAGTCATGTTTCGAAACTGTTTGACGTTAGTGATTTGCGCGTGACGAATTAAAATTTTGTTTACTCGGAGAATTAATCAGGCGGTTAAGAACTTTGATGTAACCATTTTTTTTTTCTCAAATCTACTTATCTTTCTCGGCGATTGGCTACATTTCACAGAAAAATATGATTCTCCAGAAGTAATACTTGCAGGTTACACCTGTACCTGGACCTTGATCAGAACCTGCCCCTGCCATCGCTAACTATTGTATTTCCTCTTCTTTAACAAAACTGTCCTTTTTATTCATTTATTAATTTATTTATTTACTTTTTAATATAGGGGAGTGCCTCGCATGGACCTTGCGTCCCGTTCGCACCCCCCTTTTGGGTCTTTGTAATATTGTACTAAGTGCTGCTATTGTGTGGGTTTTTTTTTTTTTTTATTTATTTTTTTTTTTTAGAAGTCAAACCCAATAAAGTTGTTGAAATTAAAAAATAAAATGAAAAAAAAAATTGAAAAATACATGAATATATCAAATTGTGACATTTAATTGATCGCGTTTTGAAGGGCCATTGAGGACGAAATTGCATTTAAGTGGCAAGCAACAGACAAGTGGACGCAAAAATGATTAAAACTGAGCGGGGATTCGCGGGGGATGGGAGGATTTTGGTTAATTGGTGTCACACTAAAAGTTACATGATCCCCTCTAAAGGCTCTGTAGTAATTCTAATAATATTTTTGTCTGTAACTCGTTTTGTTGTCACCGAACTCTCCCATGTACGAGACAGCGTGACTGGTGTTTTCTAAATCGTAGGTTATATTTTGATAGAAAAGGTCACGGTTCAAACGGTTTGGTCGAGTCACGATAAAAAATTACCCGACTCCCCCTAGGGTTTTATGGTATTATTATGACCCCTCCTCACTTACAGTCAGTCTTCTCTAGTCCCCCCTATATACTCTGAAAGCGAAAACTAATCCACCTCAGTTCCCTCCTTAAAACCATGTGATTGCCCCAAATCCCCCCCACCCAGAAGATAAAAAATATCTGGCCTTTACTTCCGTTAATCTCTTCAACAATTCATTCAGTCCATTAAACGACCGATGGAGTACGAGTAAAAAAGAAATTAGAGCCTTATATTTGCCTCTATAGCATTGGAACAGTTGCAATTCGAGAAAGTGGTCTCCTTGATTGTATCAAAAATCTTTGCTTTTCTATATTTTTTAAATAGTTTCCTTGCTATTGTGTACTTGCGTTTGTCACCTTGGAACCTTGACACCTTTTATATACGTGCTGTCTGCCAGATTCAATTTGAAAAACTTACTTTAATATTTTTTCTTTTTACTCAGGTCCATAAATCATGAAGCCGTTTTGTTGCATGAGGACCATCAAAGGTGTTTCCACCTTCTCCGTCATCTGTCCAGTCATCTGGTAGATTCTCGTCATTCAAGGACAAGCAGTATTTCTTTTGAGCATCATGTTGAATGATCCAATTGAAATTATCGTTTTTGTTATTATAAGCATTGGTGGTGGGGCTGTAGTCATGTGGATGCTTAGTAAGATGCTCCAATTATGCGTCGGTGCGTCAACTGTCTTGTCTTTCATCCTGCCAGCCTTAGTCTATACTGCTATCATTTGGATTGAATGGGCAATGTTAAATCAGGAAACTCCTTTTTTTCAAGTAACCATCTGGAATCTTCAAGCATTTGGGATTTTGCCTGTGATGTGGATTACAAAGTGGATGCTGAATAAATGCATGGTATGGGCTCTTTTATTAATGCACATCTTATTTCAAAATATTCCTTGATGCTTTCAGGTCATACATTAGAAACCAATGCACAATGCTCTCCCATGATAATAACTGGGAGGGTCTCAGTAACGAGGTTTAACCGTCAGTCGTGAAAAACGAAAGACTTTTACTGTCAACCGTCAAGGATGCAACTGAATCATGTATTAACCATCAAAAGGTTTCAGGAATCGCTCATTTTAGCCGCTTGCCAAAAATAGTTTTAGAATGATAAACTAGTTAGTCTCCAGATTTCCAAAAATTTTCAGTTCGTGGTCGTTTCCATTGCCTGCAGAGCAGGCGTAATTTGGGGAAGCGAGTGCTCAGCATTTTCTTCCCGAAAAATGGCCGCCATCTTTGATTTTAATGGCATGCAGCAGAACGCTGGGGAGAGAAGAAAATTTGTACCAATTTATGCCATCGTTTGGAAGATCTTTTACATTCAGTTTACTCAGCATCTCGTGTTCCCGTTCCAACTGGGCGGATGAGGTACTCTCTGTGTTTTCTAAGGTGACAGATTTTTTTGATCGCATAGGAGAAACTTCCTTCAACGGGGTCTTCCCGATCGGGCAACTAACACGTACAGATTTAAATTTCCTCCACGATGGACTAGCTTTCTCTGGCGTGTCGAAAGTTCCTTTGCTGGTTTTAAATGGATTAGACGTCGTTGCAGTTGTTTTCTTGACAAAGTAGTGCAACTGACCTAAATTTCTAACTTGTTTGTTTTTAAAAATTCTCTTTTAAAATCGGCCTTCATACTAACAATGTACTTTTTTGTCATTTTTCAAAGGCTCCTTAAACTTTCTCACACCTATTTTTAAGCTTAGATTAAAGATAAACCCTTCCTCTTTAAAAACCTGCTATTTGGTTTCTCACTTATTGCTTCTGGCAATTGGGGAAGCGACCTTTAACAACGCTGCTGCGCTAGTTTCAACCCTTTCTTCTCTTATTCTGGGCTTTTCAAGGCGCGATTGCATTCAAATCTCCTGCTTCAGTGCTCAAGAATAAGTAAAGAGGTCTAGGCATTCTGCATGCGCGATATTTACGGCCATTTGGGTTGCAAACACGAAAATCTCGAGCTATTTTGCACTAAAGGAAATCCAACTTGACGAACAATTTTGCTCAAAACAACCCTAAAATACTCCTTCCGTTTCGAAGGTTTAAAAATATTTTCTGATGAAGAGTGGCTTTACTTATGGAGATTTCCGAAATGTATATTGAAGGAAACTCCACAAAGCCTACATTTGTCACTCGCCTTCTCGGACATTGTAGCTGTTTGACCGGCTCACCAGATCGACTTCACGTGTTTGTTTTTGCCGGAAGTTATTACCAAAGGTTTTTAAACTGATTTTTATTGGTTACCTGTTCATTACTGGCAATATAATGAGGCATAATTAGTCAGGGGGTGTTTCGCATTTTAACAGCCTTTTCGGGCAGGCGTCTTCTCCCCCTTGCCCCGCCCCCTACCCTCAATCTGACTCGTAATCAAACATGGCGGATAAACGATCCCGAACTAAGAACGTTAACTGCCCCTAATAAGACGGTCTGCAGGCTATCATTTCCATTGAATTTTCGCCCAAAAACCAACAGTTTGAAAATATCAGTTTTAATGTTTAACTTATACTTTGATATTGGGAATTAGTATATACACACACTCAGTGATCTTGGCGTTTCAAGCATTCTGATTGGTTCGTTATCTTGGGCTAATCAACAATGTACACCTTCGAGCGAGTGAATAATGTGAAAAACAAAATAGTGGGCGTAAACTCAAGTTTCGCTAAAGTTTCAGAAGCAGAAATTGGCTTCCTTTTAATTTTGTCGAGATCACTTCGTGTGTATATACTAAAACAATTATTCTTTTCAATTTCGGTGAATAGTGGCTTTCGGGAATATTTACCTGACTGGTAAATATTTAGCCGGTAAATCGGTAAACATTTAGCCACTTTTCACCTCGATTTCAAAGAATAATTGTTAAATAGCCGACTTCATTATTAATATTTAAACCTGTCTTTGAAAACTCCGCTACGCGCCATTTCATGTATTTCCTCCCGTTCGACAGGATCACAACTGAGATCACGCGTCGTGTGAAGTTTCCTTTAAGCTGTTGATAGCTTCATCTTAAAAATCCTTGTATTGGAAGGTTTAGGTCTGTATGCTAATGATTCCCTCGAGCTCAACGACGTTTTCATCTTTGATCCATGTTTAAAATGCTAGAAGTAAGCGAAAGACTAACGATCCAATCGACTAAAAGAGAATCCTAAAAGTGCAAGATACGGATAGATTAAAGAAGAAGGTAACAACACATCAGCTTGTTCCACATCCAGTGTTCGACACTAACTCTTGCCCAATTGCCTGGGGCAAGTAAATTACCTCTGTGGGCAAGTAAAACAACTCCAAGGGTTGCCCGATCGGGCAATCGGGATTTTTTGATCGATTCAACTTACAAAGAGGGAAGTGTCTAATAATGTAACGAGATGACCGCAAACCTGAGCAAAAAAATAAAGCAAAATCAAAAATATTAGCTGTGTTATTCATTTCTGTGTTAAATATATATGGGTACAAACCTCGAAACGTATCCAAAAGCGTAGAAGATACAAATGTCCGAACATTACAAATGTCCGAACATTACAAATTTGTAGCCGCCATGTTGTTTCTCTATGCGAAAGGAATGCTTGTTACAATAAAACCCAGTTTCCGCACGACTAAACGCACCTGCATGTTGGCATATCGATCAAGTCTGTACATTTTTTGGCGAAATGAGTCTGTTTCAGTTCGGGTTTGTCAGAAAAAACGAAATGGTGATCATCGCCACATCGCCAGAAATTTGGGACAAGATGGCGGCCGCGCGTGTGCATCATATACAGTAATGGCACTTAAAGTACTTAAGATAATGTATGAGGAAAAAGATATATGTATCATTTTCGATGCGGTGGATCTTTGTGCATAGCTCGAAACATATTTTAAATGGACCAGCCGAGTTATTGATAAGGAAAAGAGGTACCAAATTCAAAACACCAACCCAGGTATATAATCCTGTAGTCAATTTCTGCTCCTTTTCCCCATACATTTTATTAAAATTCCCTTAGAGATCATCTTGATATCCCATAAATACAGGGAGAACCTAATCGAGAATCCAAGGTGTACAGATCGAAATGAGTTGTATGAAGCCTGCTTTAGCTCTGTCACTCGTAGTATGTTGATTCCTCTAAGCAAAAGTTCTTCCAAGAGTCATTGAGTTTTCTGCATTCATAGTTGAGAAGAATCTAAAAAGCCGTGCCGCCGTTTTTAAAGTCCTCCTTGTTTACGTGTTCATCAGAAAACGCTGAAAAAGTCGGTAGGAAAGTGATTTTCGCCAACTATGTTTCTTGTTTTCAAAATCCCCTGGTGTTTCTTGGGATAGCTAAGTCTCTGGCAACTCGCGTACAAATTCTTTATTGATCGCTTAGATCGAGTAGCAATGGCCGCCATCTTGTATTCCGGTAAAATGCGATACATCGCTGACTCAAACCCACGGGCTTGAAATGTCCCCGATTTCCGGAGTGATGTTTGGTTTTTTCGTTTTTATTTAGCGGAGAAATAAATAACACAGCAAAGATTTTTGATTCTACTTTATTTTTTGCTCAGGTTTATGGTCATTCCGTTATATTATTGGCGACCGTTAAAATTGAAAAAAAGAATTATAACCTTCAAGCGTCAAAGCTACATGCCTAGTAATATAATACCCCGCTTTATTAGATATTTATTTCATAAAAATTTCACTGACTTTTTTGTTTTGAGAACAAATATACAAGTCACGTGACATGGTATTTAGACGCTTTGAAGTGGAAAGACGTTAATCGGCACCTGTCTAACGTCAAAATGCAGCCCAATACTAACTGTCAAAGGGTTTCGAGGTCTATCAGATCTCACTTTTTTGTTAATTCGTCACGAACAGATCTGTACCTTGAAGATACTTAAGTCTCTGTGTTTCTGAATGTGTACTCACTTTACAGTCATTCCCACAAATATTCGCCTGACTGTAAAATTTCCAATTCATGTACCGACCAACAGGAAGTATTTTTCCTTTTATCTGCAGGTTTTATTACTTCCTATCTCTTGTGGCCACAGAAAAGTTGTCTTTACCGGAAGAAGTTCCGTTCCTCTTCGAGAGATTATTTTGACCGTCGACGAAGAAATTCCAACTGAACAAGACTTTCAAGAACTAAAAACTAACGCTCTACCCTATTTATCAGACGTTCAGAATGCTCTGGAAAAGAGATGGATGCCAACGGATTATTTTTTCGCAGGAAGCACAGTAGAGAGATTTGGCATCGCAATGATGATCTCGCAAGAAGCTAGATGCTTCGGATTGGCACCCTTAGGCTCATTAGATGCCGACCTCGACGTGATGTTTTGCTGTTCGGGAGTAAGAGCTTCTTTTTCTGGTCAAGATGACTTACTTGTTGAGCCATTTATTAGTGGAAGGGAAGGCTTCACGGGATATGCACAACTTGTTTACTTCACTCTCAGCGTTGAGAAAGTATTTGTCAGTTCAACTCTTATCAGACAGCGGGCGAATGGTGCTGTTCAAAACATGCCCGTGGACAATCTACCCAGCGATACATGCTGTTTTGGCACAATCGACTTCGGTCCCAAGGTCAGCTTTAGCTCCAGAGGGCCCACGATGAAGCTTTGTGTTGCTCCTCTTTTCGAGGCTGACTTTACCATCTGTATCCATTGCCCTGAGTGGCCAC